TATAAAGAGAAAACTAGTGTAGGGTTTTAAAAGTATCACCAAGTAAAAAAAATTTAAATGTATACCATTAGACGATTTTTAATTATTACTATTTGTATGTTAGTTACCTTCCATGTCGATGTTTTTTCATTTAATTTATTGATGTACTCTGGTTGAAGAAAATGCACCTGTTCTGTTACGTAAGCACTAAGCAAAATCACAGACAATATCATTAATAGTCTAGCCATCGTTGCAAGTAGGTATCAAAAAAAAAAAATATAACCCCTAAAAACTATAATATTCAGTGTAGGTTGGGTGGTCAAACATACATTGAGCTCAACACCGATTTATTTTTTGATTTATATAACATCAAATATGAAAGTGTAAGTGTGTAAGTACAGATATCTTGTTACAAAGATAAAAAGCTACCTACTCGAGTTGGTTGTAATAGTATCTAATTTGATGGATTATTAGGTTGTTTATAAAGGATCAAGTTTAATCTACCATATCTAAAAAAGTATTACATTTGTAGGAGTTTTTTGTGTTTTGTTTTGAATACAGAACCAATGAGGGGGAACTGTTTTTTTACAAGACGTTTCCTCATTAGCCCTCATCATTTATTCACATATGTACATATATAGAAATACTGTTTTATGTAAGAAAATCCCCTTTACCCCTGTGGGTGGGGGGGGGGCTCACATTTACATTTACATGCCCAGTTTTATTGAATTATTTACAATTATTACGCTATTATGTCTTTTTGATTTATTTACGTCTTTTGTTTCGCATCCATTATCGTGCCCACCCTGCTGATGAATGCTCTCCGCGCTTTGTCAGACGCCTCCATGACTACCCTCTGAAGGTCTTCCACGATGGGGCCACACAACAGATCTTTCATGTATATGTTATATAGTATTGGGGAAAGGATGTCTCCTTGTGGAACACCCGCTCTAATATATACAATATTAGAATACGCTGATTTATGATGGACTTGAAAATATCGATCGGTTAGATATGACTTTAGAAGAATAAGGGGCAAAAACTTCTTTAATTTGTATAGCAGTCCCTCGTGCCATACTCGGTCAAAAGCCTGTGAAATATCAAGAAAAGCGCAGGTACAATACAATTTTTTTTCAAGTGCATAAGAAACTGAGTCCAATAGACTATGTACCTCCGTGTCCTAACGCTTTTTTCATTATTAATTTTCGTTAAAAACGCTAATTTGGTAATACTTTGTTCGGTTATGTACCAGAGCTAAGACATGAAAATGTCAATATTAATACATAATAGAACCGCCAAATATGAATTCCTTAGGCACTGAACTTGACGTATGCACTTATATTAGGAAGAAACTAAATTTATATAAAAATAAATTATATCATAAACCCTTTTAGATTTTTTAAGAATGAAATAAAATAGTCTTTTAAATATTCTGTAATGTACGGGTATGTAAACTTTGCTCGTAAATCTACGAATGATAATCAAAATTATTATTATTTTATTAATTTGAATATTCAACGAATCCAACAACTTGGGCTATGCTTAAGGTTGGAATCTAACAATTGCAAAACTGCAACACAGCCGCCTATTTATTTTGAAAATTAAAAACTATGCAAGAAAATAATAATTATAAAAACGATTAAGCATAAACGAAGGTATCTTAATTATTTGGTTTTATATTAAGTGTTTTATACACAGAAGAGAAATATAAAACAAAGAGTGCTGAAACCAATAGGCCAGATACATGTTTATCCTGAGATGCATTTTTTCGGAAATACCTGAGCCTTTTCCTTTATTCCTACATAATTACAGAATTTAGCCGGGTTGGGCTAAGACTAATTTGAATTTTATGTATGTGCGTCTTAAGAGATTTCTTTGACGCCGCTTTGCATTGAGCTCGCAAATTAGAAAAGTTATAGTAATCAATAGGTCATTTTTTTTATAATAATAAGAGTTTATAGTTTTCCTACTAGGGAAACTTATAACTTGATAAGAGCATGACTTGAATTTTTATAATCATAAATTGTTTCTAAATTTTTTCCTTTTTACCTTAGATAATGTGTTAAAAAATTAATTATAAAAAGACTCGTAATTTTCCTGTGGTCAAAATAAAAATAATATTTTTCAACGTAGTACGCTTAATTAAAATTTTAACTGTGCAGATTTCAAGTTAACCACACTACTGGGGATTAAATTAGGGAATAAAAGGCGATTTAAGATTTTTTTGTAAATCACACCTCCTAGGTCCAAAAATATGTCATACATTTTTAACAATAGTCGCACACGCATTAAATAATTTCACATGAAACGACCCAGCTATTGCTTTTGCTTATATCATAAAATAAACATAATAAACTACATAAACAACTCATAAATCATAGACAATCATAGAATAATAAACATAATATTGGTGTAATAAAAAATCGACAGATCAATGCGCCTTAAGTAATGCTGCATTTGTTACTGTTAAAAAACTGAATAAATTAATCATTGAATATTATGTGAAAACGCATGTTGCAAAACGTTATTAGCAAGTACTCATTTTAGCTTCGATGCAAAGCGAGAAGGTATTGGTTTTACTCTGATGTGTGTTTTTTTTTTATCTGTATACACTGTAACTTGTTTAATACTGGACCAATTCCTTCGAGTAGCAACTCTATAAATCGCAAATTTCATCTTGTTGGTACTTTGGGGGGGGGGGGGTAAAAGTTGAATAAGTTTAATTCTTCACAGACGAAAGTTGAAAAAAAAACCGTACGAGTTTTTAAGTTAGAACTTTTACTGGCTATAATTTCGAGAAAAAAAGTCGGATCGAGTTGAAATGTATAAGAAATAATTATTTGGTATGCCCGCACACGTCAGTTGTGTCAAACTTAAACTATACCCATTTCCCACCCCCCTAGGGGGGGTACAAGTTTTTTTTGTTTTTCGGGGTTTTTAGCGGTAATTTTGAAACTTTTGGGTTGAAAATTTGCCAGTAGTTGGAACTCATATGTACCCATAACATATTAAACGGGAAAGAATTCGGCACTACAGTTTTTTTTTAATTGCCGGGAAACTGTGTTTTCGCAAATTTCGTATATTTTAACAAAAACACCTAAAATCTTTAAAAAAAAATTGATCAAATCATTAAAACAATTTTATGTATATCTATGCAGAATGATACTATTAGGTTTTGTGCTCAAGTACCACTTTTGACTTAAAGTTTACACAAATTCAATTTTTTTTTTTTTTAACTAAAAACCCGGTGTACCAGATGTGAGAAACGAACAGACACTAAAAACTATCAGTTGGTAATGCTATCCGTGTTAGATTAGGTTAGGGCCCAATGATCGGTTTCATAATATTGTGTTTATTACATGATATCACAGGCGACTAAATCGTGTAACTGATTATAGTAGACACTCGATTTATTGGGGAAAAAACCTATCCGTGTACTTTTTAAGACACTTAATGATTCTGATACGACAAAACCACTGTCGTTATCTCGTTATTTTATAGCCTGCGTTATATAACCTTACCGAAGGTCAACTATGAGTATATAAGGTCCAACTCCCTGCAAATAATTAAGAGGACTGTTGTTTTTTGGATTCAGATTAAGTGTTGGTTTTTATGCAGTATACCGCCTCAAAATGTATTTTTTATTACACAATTTTTTTAAAGGAAAACTAATGTTTTGTATATTGTTATACTGTTATTTATTTAAAGAGATTCACGCTTGATTGTTTAAATTGTCTAATATTAGATAATCTGCTTCGTGCTAATTTTAATTTTTTAGTTTATCAACTTGTAGCTCTAATTTTGTATAAAATATTTCATTATTTTATTACTATGTACTATTACTATTAAGATAAATTTTAATAATAATTAAGTCATAAATGATAATACTTTATTTTATGACTAGATCAAATCTCGTGAACATTTAACATCATGATACTGCTGCTATGCTATTATTAAAAAAACACAATTTTTAAAATCACCATAAAAGTTTATTGTTAAATAACAGGCAACAGCCGACCGCTAGTGGCTATAGTAATATTTAACTAATAAGTAATATATGTAGGTAAAATTTATTGTTTTCTCCATCACAGTACCAGTATGTGATTTATTTTAATTTAAATGTAAGAAAATCGATTTTTCTTTAGAAAATAACAAGAAATTAATATACGGGATGAGGCAGTTAAACGGCGATTTTCTAATGTATTTAAATGGTAAAACCCGTTTCACTATTCCACCCTTTACATTTTAAGGATCTATGATAAGGTTTTTTTAGTTGCATTTTATTTTGTACTTTGTCAATCTAGTAAAATAGAAGTATAATATAGCTTTGAAATAATATAATCTATGAAGTATAAATAGTTTGTGTGAGATTGCTTTAATGGAAGTATATAATACATAAATATGAATTTTATTGAGAATAAGCGATTATAATTTAAACTATGTACAGACTATGAGTACAAACGATTGGAACATGAATCGTCGACCGTTCCAACAAAATATAACAAGACATTGTATATGTGTTATTTGATCCACTAAGTTTTTGCAAAAAAAAAAAAAAAACAGTACAGTGGGGTCGTTGCGTAGTGGGGACGGAACTCCCTTCAATTTTATCACTTTTATTTATAATAATTCTTGTAGACCTGTGACCTCTCCGTTTCCTCATTGCTTTGATTACATTATGCCAATACTCTACTGTACTAGTCCTCTCGGATAAAATCACTTTCAAATTAACGCTTTGATGCTCATTTGTAAATACAGAACCTTCATTTAAAACTTTCTAACTTTGCTGGTTTATACTGTGCTTGGTTTGGACTGTACTGGCTTGAAAATACTAACTACCGATTTGCATCGAAGCGTTTTTTCGAAAGTGATTTTATCACTTTCAGATTTAAAAATTCCTGTAAACCTGTGACCTCCCCGTCCCCAATATGCCCCGACCCAACTATGTTCCGTCCCCACTATGCACCGACCACACTGTACTGGTTTTATTTTTTTACTTGGTAATTTACTGGGCCTTAATTAATTAAAATTATCTGTTCGATTTAATTGTTGTCATTTATTATTAAAACCATTTTACATATTATGTATTAATTAAGTTATTCATCATACAATATAAACAATATTATATGCACATGGGTAAATTTTTAGTCAGTAACATTGGGCACACCGCCTGTCACCCAGCTGTCAATATCACATTCGTTTGTGCCTCTTCGGATCTTGAACGTTCCCTGGTCTCCCCAGGATTCATTCCACGAGTTCACACACAGCCAGTATGGAATTTCATTCTCCACGCCCCATCCGATCAATTTCACGGAATGACCTCCCATGTACGTAGCATTTGCCGATTTTATATAGACACCTAATCATTTTTATGACAAATAAGTGTGCATGAGTTAATGAGTTTTATAATAAATTTTTTTATCTACATTTACCCGATTTGTAATTGTAGATATCATCGTAGACATCAAAAGACGCTTCTACTGGACCGTATACCAAAATGTCTTCTTGAATGCTGTCTGGTTTAATGTAGTACGCGTCGCTGGCTATAATTATATGTAACAAAGAAAAAACCCGTCGAATTACAACGAAGATGTATTGCTGTTGTTAATAATAAATAATATATAACTGTATCTGTGGTCTTCTTTGTAATCGATTGTTGTGTTTCCGTAACACTTTTTAACGCACCTGTGGTTCCTCTCCTCCGGAACATCATCGTCATAAGGTGGAACATAATATGGCAGACATCCCTTCAAGAAAATGCGCATTTGAGTCAGCAAAATTTGTAATACAATTAGCTTTCAAATTTCAAAGAGAGGTTTGAGGTACAAAATAATATTAACTTTAAGTGTATCACCCATCTCTTTTGGACGAGGGTGGGATTGGGGATAGGGATGGACATGGAGATTCGGATGATAATTTTTTACATTATGTGTTGTTTTCACAATGAACAAACTTGAATGAGTGGTTAAACTGACAAAAAAAACTAACCAAGTGAATGTTTCGCCAACAAATCGATTAAAACCAATTATTAAAAAACTACTAAAAAACTTTTGGCCACATAAAGTTAATCATCACCTGCCATTTGCGAACGGTGCTCTGCAAAACGAGACATAAAAATGTATCCCGAGGTTGCAGACCCGTACGCAAGCTGTTAAAATATAACATGTAATACCTATGTGAAAACCGTTCATCCAAAATATGCATAATAAGAACTAGCAAAAGCTTTTACTTTGTGTATAAAAGACGAAACAAGTTTGTATTTATCGATATATTTTCTGACAGCTATTACATGAACTGTAATCTATTAGAATTAATTAAATGTATAAGCATCTTAATTGCATTCATAGATTTAAGCTATAATTCTGATGTACAAAATTCGTGTTGTTCGATTGTTAATTTTGGTTACCCTTATAACGTTTAAATTAAAAATATTAAGTCTTTAGTCTAAGTTTTGTAGTGGACATTATAATAATTAGCCACTAGTCTAAGCTTTTTATATATATTCATTGGATACTAATTTACCTGTTTGCTGTCATAGCCTCCGCCGGTGACGATACCGTTCCTACTGAAGTATTCCCACGCCATAATGGGATATCCCCCGTTACACCCAAAGCCACACGAATTACAACAGAACGTCAGTTCTTCGGCCGACAACAGTTCGTTAAACTCACCGTCTGTGGCAATACACAGTCGATCGGAAAACGCACTACTAGTGCCAAAAGCCTGTTAAAAATAAAAGTTTAGATGTAGGTATTGTAGGCATGTGCGTGTCCTCATGACAAATATTTACCCAACATGAACCACAATTTCCTTGGTCACGAATCACGCCGATGGTTTTACAACGCTTCCATTTTTTTCTGGCGTCGAAACTTTCGGGAATGTGGAATAAGGAATTGTAGTTGGAATCTTGGGCCTTGAATGGACCTTTGGCTGCAGCTCCTTCACGTCGAGATCCCAATAACCCTTTTAAATATTCGATAGGAGTATCGGGAGGAAAATTTTCTCCTGCCTAAAAACATTTCGTAATAAGTACACTTCTGGAAAAATGTAGCTCATTATTTAATATTTGTTTTTTAACAAAGTTTGTTAACCATACTGCCGATACAATAAATTTATTTTTCTTTATTATTATTGTTTAATTATACCAATTAGTATTTAATATTGGCCGACCACATGTAGTAGGGAGTGTAAGGCAATAGATGAAAAAGAGACTAATTAATAATTAGTTTAATAAGAATAATTACCTATTGGCTACTCACTTATAACATTTTCATTCATTATTAACATAAGGATTTTCGCGAATAGTAGTACGTAGTAGATTATAATAACCATAAGAAAATAAATTAATTAAACATTAAAATTATTTAATATTTTTTTGATGTTGACCTGTATGTAAATAAGCAAAGTTATATCGGCTATTTTTACTATTTAAGGCAAATAAAAAGTAAAACGGGAGAACTCTTCCAGTCGATACTGGGAGGGAATTATTGTTTAAATAGTTTCAATAGTTGTTAAATTTCTTAGAAAACACGAAAAAGAATAAAAATTAAAATATTGTCTAATATTTTAGTTCAGCATTTACAAAAATGTTTTCAATAAGAAAACTAAAAAATATCAATTATATAAAGAGAAAACTAGTGTAGGGTTTTAAAAGTATCACCAAGTAAAAAAAATTTAAATGTATACCATTAGACGATTTTAAATTATTACTATTTGTATGTTAGTTACCTTCCATGTCGATGTTTTTTCATTTAGTTTATTGATGTACTCTGGTTGAAGAAAATGCACCTGTTCTGTTACGTAAGCACTAAGCAAAATCACAGACAATATAATTAATAGTCTAGCCATCGTTGCAAGTAGGTATCAAAAAAAAAATATAACCCCTAAAAACTATAATATTCAGTGTAGGTTGGGTGGTCAAACATACATTGAGCTCAACACCGATTTATTTTTTGATTTATATAGCATCAAATATGAAAGTGTAAGTGTATAAGTACAGATTTCTTGTTACAAAGATAAAAAGCTACCTACTCGAGTTGGTTTTTTAAATTTAATTTCAAGTTTAATCTACCATATCTAAAAAAGTATTACATTTGTAGGAGTTTTTTGTTTTTTGTTTTGAATACAGAACCAATGAGGGGGAACTGTTTTCCACATGACGTTCCCTCATTAGCCGTCATCATTTATTCACATATGTACATATATATAAATACTGTTTTTTGTAAGAAAATTTTATTCAGATGCACTAAAGAATTTAATGGTGAACTATGTCTTAAAACCTTGTGTGTCACTAGTCAGACCTCTCTTAGAGTATTGTTCAGTTTTATGGAACCCCACGCAAATTGGACATGTTGAATCACTGGAGCTGGTGCAAAGACGTTTCTTGCGGCTCATTGGCTATAAGAGACGCCTTGGTCTTGATCCTAGCCTCCCCTGTTCTACTTCCACTTTATCTTCTATCCAGGCCAGCCTTAATTTGGTATCACTCGGCACTAGACGTGAGTCAATTGACGTTTCCTTCTTTTCGAAAATTATAAAGGGTAATATTGTTTGCCCAGATTTGCTACATCTTCTTAACTTTCATATCCCCGCTTTCAACTCCCGGTGCATCCCTAACTTCTCAATCCTGTTTCACCACACATCATATGGTTCCAACAACCCTATTGATCGGATATCTCGTTTATGTAACAGGCGTAATGATATTGATTTATTTGTTTAATTATATATATGCACTGTTACTCATTAAAATGTTGTGTTATCTTGCTTTAATTATTTTATATTGTACTAATTGTAGTTATTTTTTTCAAATAATAGTGTATATAGAAGAAGAAAAAAGTAAGATGAGATTACTAAATAACGAGTTACCACAAGGCTCAGTGCAGGCCCCATTATTATTTAATCTATACACAAAGGATATCCCTTTAACAAGTTTAAGAAAATGTATCTATGCAGATGATATTGGCATTGGCCACTCAGAATAATGTTTCTGAGGATCTTGAAAATACATTAACCGCAGTGACCTTTGAGAGCTAAACACATATTTCAAACGATGTAGACTTAAACCTACCCCGTTAAAAACTGAAGTGACAGTGTTTCATCTGAAAAATAGAATGGCGAGCTATAAAATAAGTGTTCATTTTAATGGACAGTTCACCTATCTGGCTTAACAGCGCACACGTGAGCAAAATAGATTAACAACTCAATATAAAAATGCAGACAATAGGCAGACTGACAAAATCTACATCACTTAAATGGCTACCAGTTCTCAGTAACATTGCTACCCCCAAATTACGAAGAGAGAACAGTCTCATACGTGAGTGGGTCAAATACTCCAGGAACCCAAACCTCCAAATTCACACAGATCTACCCATACAAAATTAAATACGACTTAAGTCCTGTTAACCCTTGTGGAAACCGCAAAGACGCTCATCTAAGAAAAATTTGATATAAATCACAGATGGAAAGAAGATTGGATATCAGAAAACCCCAATGTGCATAAACTAGTAACACACCTCACTGCCAAACAATCATGATTTGAGCTAACTAAACCGCATTAGAACAAGCAATGGTAGAAATGATCACGTGATGTTTAAATCGGGATTGCGTGATTCTGAAGCATGTGACTGTGGACACAGACGATTAGTCACACATTAACGAATGCCCACGGCAAGCATTCGCCGGTACCATTCATGATATTCATCAAGTGAGGAAAGAATCGATAAAGTAGATGGAGGACCTGTATGGTATATTATAACTACAATTGACAAAAATATTTGACTTTTTAAACCATAACCACCATTCGTTTTTTTTTTACTTATTTTATTTTATTCAGTTATTTGTTTATTTATTTGTGCTAAATTACCATGAACTATTGTATTTAAACTTAACTATTAAGATAAAATGGGTTGCTTATATAATGCCATACAAAATATACATGTATAACCTGTAACCAAGTACAGTTTGTGGGAATTAAAATCCATAATATAATATTATAATTAAAAAATTAATTCAAAAATAACGTTTTTATGCGCCTTTAAAAGTATAAAATAACCCTCCGGGGGTCTTGACAACCAAATAGGATAGGTGAACTAGAAAAACATGGGGCGCATCTTTCTATTTAGATATTAAAACCTAAGCCTTCAAGCTAATGCATTAAGTTGTCTCTCATAATGCTGTCTCTCTAACCAAACGGATCAAAAAGTGATAGTATGACTTTTTTTTTGGGAATGAAATTTAATGGATTTCCGTGACACTTGTCTTAAATTTCATTGCAAATTGAAAAGACTTAATTGCTATTCTCTCCAAAGTTTGTTATATGTAGGTTGCTTCAATTTTTTTGTTAACTATCTACTTGCTTAACATTTAAAGTAATGTGGTCTCAATTTTACATGACATGTCATTAAGTATTATTTTATTTAGACGAGAAAAGATGATTGTGCATGAATTATGAGTTAAGGTAGTTATTCATTAGAAGAGAATGTTATTATATATTCACGTGTGAAATAGTAAAGATGCGCCCCTTGTTTTTCTAGTTCACCTGTCCTATTTGGTTATCAAGACCTCCGGAGGGTTATTTTTTACTTTTGAAGGCGCATAAAAACGTTATTTTTAGATAAATATTTAATCTACTTTAGTTATTTTGTTCTTTTTCGTTTTCGTATGTACGTATCTATATATTTAAATGTACAATGTTATTGCTGCATGGTCAGAAGGATTATCATAAGAATTAGTAATCAATTTAAAAGCTTATAATTTTAGATTTATTACTGTATAAATTATCATAAAAGTTGTAAGAAAATGCAAAAAAGTGTAATGATGGGAACGGGTTTGAACCTGGTACCGCTGATATCTGAGCACCGTTCACGCCTAAACGCACCACGCATAATTTTTGCTGGCAGATGAGAAATAAGTCTTTTTGAATTGCAAAAATCCACCCGGAACGATGGACAAGAAATCGACCCCATTTTAACCCCCTTAGGGGTGGAATTGTCAACCTCTTGTGGATAAGTAATGCATTGTCATCGAATTGTGAGCTACCCTGAAAGTTTCAGCCGGATAGCTAATCGGGAAGTGCTCGAAATTTGAGTTGCAAGATTCCACCCGGAACGACAAACAAGATTGTGAGTTCATAAAAACGTTATAATTATAATAATAATAAAAATACAGCGCTTATTCTACCTTTAATAACCTAAAAACTAATTAACCAAATCTATAAAAACCGTAATGTTTATAATGCAAATGAGTACGAGTATAAATTATTTAAAAAAAAAAAGTACAGTCTAAATCAGTACAGTTTAAACCAGTATAGTTCAAACCAAGCACAGTGTTAACCAGCACAACCGTAACCATTTTAAATTCAAATCTATAATATAATATTATTATTAGATTATTCCTTTAATAACAAAATTATATTTTTATTTAAATGCGTTTTATATGCACAAATTCCTAGAACTATGTTTATCACGTTATCTACCACTCAAATAATTTATCTGTTAATAAACAAAATATTATATAATATTATAATTATTCGTACAGTTAGAATATAAATACTTGAATTTCTGTTTAAAATATTGAACACTCCACACGATAGGTATCATGTCAATGTATCACTTTTGACATTGATAGTGGTTATAACGCACTTATATATTTTGTTACACACTCTATAAATTAATTAAATTAGTATTTTAATAACATTTAGTTGAAAAATCAATAAGTTACCGTCTAGCTAGTTGAACCATACCTAGTTGAATATTTTACTCGCTATTTTCATAGTATTTAATCATTGTTTCCCATTCTTAAAATTTAAAGTATGATATTTGGATTGAGTTAAGGCTCTACTGTATAGTAAACTTAATATGCCAATAATTTGTACTCAAATTTCCATAAGCCTTTAATTTTCAAAAGTCAACTTAGGGTAACGGCACCAATGATTTGCACTATAATCCAGTCCTTGTCAATGCAGTGTTTATTTTGTTACATGTATTTTATACAATTGTTTATATATTTTCCTTTTTTTTTTAATGAATTTTGTATAAAAATGTATTTCAACGGTATAAAATATCTTAATATTCTATCTGATAAAAAAAACTCTATTTTTTCCAAAAATTGAGATAGTAGCATTCACTGATACCGTTACCTTATGCAGAATATAATTATTACTTATATAGTTCTAGAATTTTTTAATTGAAAAATTACTGATATATTATCAGTTTTGAAGAATTATTTCCTTAGTTAAAAACTTTTTGGTGTAAAGACGGCCAGAGAGATGGAGCACTAATAGAACATTTACCTATTATTATCTAAATCTAAACGCCCTACTCAACGCGCTACACCGATAATACCTTTAATAATATACTTTTAACTTAAAAAATAAATGTTCAAAACTAATATTCTTTCTCAAAACAAGTAATTGTTGGTATTAGAACATTATACTATTAAAGAAACTGTTAAGCCTGTTGGTCGCCATTTCATCATCAAATGATGATGACAATATTATAAGTTAGGGCTATTTCATTCGATTTTTTAGTTAAAGAAACATTGTACAAACCAACTATATAACATAATAAGTTTAATAATTATTAAAACCAAAAAGTATTTATTTAATTCTATTAAGTACCTTTTCAATAATCATATTACTTTAATGCATCGGTTGAAAGATTATTTGTGAACTGTGATAGATACCTACACAATGCGTAATCTAAATACTTCTAGACGGTTTTCTACGAAACTCTTTAAAAACTATAGTTTAACCAGAAGATAACTGAAATAATAATATTAAACAAATAACAGATAAAATTGTTTTAATTGTATGACAACGAAGAAAAAAAATTTACCAAATCTAATCCATTCTTGATACTCAAAATATTATCATTCCTAATAAAATGTGTCGGAGCTGATAAAAAACTTGGCAGAATATCTACCATAAAAATATATTAACAAC